TGGAGTGAGGGATTGGGACTAGGCCCCCCTAATACTAAACACCCCGGGGTGAACTAGCTTTTAGTATTAGGGGGGAGAACCCACAAATGGTAGGTTGATTTTTAAATTGTTTTTTAAAGGGGATCAATTAAAAGTCAAATTGGCCAAACTGAAATTTTCGGAAATTGGAGATGGATGCCTGTTTTTAGTATTAGGGGGACGTTTAGTATTAGGAGGAAGGGATTATGGTATACCATCATAGCTGATTATTTGCCATCACTATTATTTATGGCGTGTTGTTGTTTATATACCCTGGCCCTATTTGATGATACCCATAATTCTTGTTGATGGTATAAATTTATACCATCAAACTTATACCATCATGGTAAACTATTGGTAAACTATAGTTTTTTGTGGGTGGATTCTCCAACTATCCACCATTCCAACCACCTTCCCAGATGAGGTCCACCCTGCATCTCGAGGCTCACGCAAGGCCAGCTGGAAGATCGGGAGTGATGGACCTGGATCCGTGACCGGTCGCGCTGGTTAGATGGGATTCATATGGGTAAAACACTGCCATGAACCACCCATTTGGGAATGGCTTATACTTTATACCACCTATATATGGTGATGACTTGGGGGAATACGGGGAATACCAGCTATATATAAAAATGGGGATGACTTGGGGGATGGTGCGTTTATGGCATTGTTTTGCCCACATTAATCATTCCATTAATAATCCCATTAATCATCCCATTAATCATGTCATTATATAATCATCCCATAGTCCCTATATTGTGCGATAAAACACCCCTTGATTCATGGTTTCTGGTCATGGATGGTCATGTTTTTCACTGCAGCAAGCATCCCGAAAAAGGGAACCAAAGAGATTAGTAGGGATTGGTTGGAGCTAATCCACTGGGAAATGGCCCATAGAAATAGATGGTTTACCTATTAATAATAGCATGGTGATTTTCCATGGCTATGTTAGTCATAACATGTCATAACCAGATGGTATAACACATATGATCCATGGTGCTGGTATATAAAAACCTACAAAACTGGGTGATTGTTAGGGTAAATGTTGGTAAATATACCGGCACCATGGAGCATTTGGGTCTGGTTCAACATGTTCGCTATTTCTGGTTAAACCCAGTTGTTTGATGAAACCAACGTGTGGTTCAACCCACATCTTGGCTGGCTAAACCCACGTTTTCCGTAGTTAAACCACTTGGATGTGCTCAAGGAACCCCCAGAAAAGAAAACATGTCCCTACATTCCCCAAGTAATTAGTGGATTTTCCATTGGGAAAATAAGCCAAATCATTGACTCGGCAAATCCATAACAAAAATGGTTCCTTTATTATCTGCGACCTGACGTGATTTTCGTTGTCCAACTTCATATTTCCAGGTGTCCCACTGTTCTATCTGTTTAATGGATGATGATTTTCCTATTTGTACAGATGTTTTTTCCCAGCCATAAACCTCAATATAAATGATGTTTCCCATGTGTAGGTATAGATAAGTGACATTTATAGATATTACATGATATTGATATAAATCTAGATCATATGTTCCAGTATATATATATATGATATGATATGATATGTTTTTCCACTGTTCAATCTTTTTCGGGGTTACGAAATAGGCCACGTTTTTTTCAGCACCCTTTCACCATCTCGGCTGTTTCACCACGGGCGGCCGAGCCAATTGGAGGAATCGCCACACTCCGTTTGGGGGGCCCAGGAGATTCCCTAGCGGCGCGCTTGACGGCGAGCGGTGCATCATGGAGCGGAAAAAACGACCCCTTGGGATCCAGCGACCATGTCTTTTTATGATGTTAGGATCTAGGGAAAACAGAAATTATGTCATATCATAATTTCTGTTTTCCCTAGATCCTAGCATAATGCTTTAACCCCTTAATTCGCATCATGATCCTTAGCCAAAAAATAAAGGATGTCCTACCCATCTAAGGTTAACCTAGATGACCAACTGACCAGGCCATGATGCTATGGAAATGCTGGGGATGAGTCCACTAGTCACGACCCCTCCAGGGTTGAGGATCAGAATTTGTAATGAGAAAATCATGTGAACATCATGGGAAAATATGAAAAATATGGTTAGGAATGGTTAACTATGAGGTAAATATGGTTAGGAATGGTTAACTATGAGGAAAATATGGTTAGGAATGGTTAACTATGAGGAAAATATGGTTAGGAATGGTTAACTATGAGGAAAACATGGTTAGGAATGGTTAACTATGAGGAAAATATGGTTAGGAATGGTTAACTATGAGGAAAATATGGTTAGGAATGGTTAACTATGAGGAAAATATGGTTAGGAATGGTTAACTATGAGGAAAATATGGTTAGGAATGGTTAACTATGAGGAAAATATGGTTAGGAATGGTTAACTATGAGGAAAATATGGTTAGGAATGGTTAACTATGAGGAAAATATGGTTAGGAATGGTTAACTATGAGGAAAATATGGTTAGGAATGGTTAACTATGAGGAAAATATGGTTAGGAATGGTTAACTATGAGGAAAATATGGTTAGGAATGGTTAACTATGAGGAAAATATGGTTAGGAATGGTTAACTATGAGGAAAATATGGTTAGGAATGGTTAACTATGAGGAAAGGGGGGAAAATATGGTTAGGAATGGTTAACTATGAGGAAAATGGTTAACTATGAGGAAAATATGGTTAGGAATGGTTAACTATGAGGAAAATATGGTTAGGAATGGTTAACTATGAGGAAAATATGGTTAGGAATGGTTAACTATGAGGAAAATATGGTTAGGAATGGTTAATTATGAAATAAAACTTCACTTTACTAGTTGGGATAAAGTTTTTTTAATGAACCTTCGGTAAAATGATTTTTGGGTTGCTTTTGTGAGCATTACATCATCATGAAAGATTAACCACACTAGCAACAAATTAAACAGCGTCAATAGTATAGTTGTATAGTAGTGGGCGACTGTGATATAGTCTTCGGTTACACGTATGGTGAAGTAATAGTTTCTCGCCAAATAGTGAGAACCCTTGACACTGCTGTCCTTTTTAGCTCATTATTATGTTTTATTCTTGCGAAGTCAAGTTAGACCACGATAATGAATCCTTTTGTAGAGTAGTAATAGTAAGTATAGATCCCTGGGTCCGGGTTTTCACCACTGGGATTTTCTCCACAATTTCTCCATTGATTTCCGAAGAAAAATCCAGAAAAACCCTACCGGTAGTGACCTCATCAATTCGGAGCTGGATCTGTTGACCGTTGGATCCCTACGTTCGATGCTGATTGGTCCTGAATTTCGATTCAGTCTCCTAGTTACTTGGGGCATGGGATTATGTATAGCAACCCCCAAAAGAATAGATCAGTTGGACACCTGGAAAAGATATGAAAAGATATTTCCAAAGATCAGTGAAAAAGAAGTGAAAAACCACCACGAGATCGATTTGTTTCTCCTTTTTTTGAAAAATCACGTTTTTGGCATCTTTTTCGTTGCCGTAAATTGCCTTCTTCCCACACGAATCATTGGGATTTCACCACACCGAAAAAACCCGGAAAAAACCCTCGCGAATGAGGCCGCGCACTGGCACTGATTCGACAGCCCCATGAAAAGTCATGAAAATGGATGGTTGATGACTTATTAAGTGATGATGATTATGGAAAATAATGGCTTATGAATGTGTTTTAATGATTTTTTATTTTAATAAGTGATGATAAGTGATGATTCAGTATTTCCTTATTTAAAATGGTGATGTTCCATAGAAGACCCAACAAAAAGAACCGAACCATGGCCACTCTTGGGGTCACAAACCCAGCGGGGAGTTTTTCTATCTATTGGTTGTGAAAAATGGTGGTCATTGCTAGAATTGACCACTAAAAAAGTGCAGTTCCAGTGAACGAAGTGAACGAAGTGAATATATTTCACCATAGTTATAGGATGTTATAGTTGGTTAGTCATATCCCAACTTATGGAATTCATAACTAGGACTATATTAGCGACAACCCTAAAAATCACCGAAACCTGCGGGCCATCGGGATGATTTCAGGCTTCAGGAGAGCAGGGTTCGGTCGTTTTGCCTGGTGAACGTAGATAATCCCATCGATACCAAAAGACTAGGATTAGTTTCTACCAATCTCAGATTGACCTAGATGTATGTCTCCATAACTGGTTGGTGGTTTTAACATGTTTTAACCATCTTGAAAAATATGAGTCAGTTGGGATGATTATTCCCAATATATGGAAAAATACAAAATGTTTGAAACCACCAACCAGATAAACATCATAAATGATGTGTCGTGGAACCACCTAGCTTCAAAGGCACGGCCAGCGTTGGATTTTTTTTTCGGATCGCGCGGGATGGACTCCGCGAACGGCGCGGACAACATGGACGCTGCATCACCCAGCAGTCGAACGGCAACCTTTCAGCACCAGGGCTGTCGGACACATGGCATCATCGCCTTGGGACATAAACTTATGATATGGGTGCGTCTGAAAATGGGGTACACAAAAATGATATACAGTAATCATGTTTCCTATGAAAACATGAAGCAATGTTCGTATTCAATTTAGTGGCAAAAATCATATACAAAGACCAAAGAAATAGAACAATTGGAAACCTTTACATTCAAACAACATCCATGATATCCCAGAAAACAATATTCTCTCTGTTGGGGGGGCCTATACATCAATGGGTGATCTATTGTGTTTGGGGATTCATGCAGGCAAATGTTCACATGGATAATAAATGGTCGATCTTTGCAAAAAAAAACGCCAAGCAAATGATATTTGATAAGATCTACAGCAAAAAACACCTATCCAATAGTAATGATTGATGAGGAATCAATTTTGAAATGGTATTTTGGATGGGTGAAAGGTCCGATCCAGGGGTTCCAGGTGTTTCACACAGATCAGTTTTGGGACTCGTGTCAGCCCAGTAACCAAAACCAAGTGACCTCATCTGCTCTAAGATCCAGTGGGTCCACCCCAAGGCCATCATCCGAGCTTTAGCTTCTCAACAGTTTGTGCGGTGGATGGTTGCGAAATCCTGCACCAGTTGAAAACGGTGGTAAACGTCCCTATTTTGTTGTTTGGGTTGAAAAACCATCCCAAATTGGTGGTGCAGGATATCCTCCATCCACAGTATGTCACCCCAGTTTGGTTTCTGGTCGAAACCCTATGATTTTTGCAAAATATCTTCCCACCTTTTCCCAGCATTTTTTTCGACATCCATATATGTTGGTTACGTGATCATGTCGCCCTGTGTAATCTTGTAATCCGGCTGTAGTCGCATCAGCATATTGAGGTTTCCTGAAATAGGGGTACCCCTAAATCATCACGGTTTTCCATGAAATAAACCATTCATTTTGGGGTCCCCCCATTGAAGGACACCCCCACATTGACATGTGGCAAGCCAAAGAAGTAGAAGAGTTGGAAACCTATTCACCCACCCAGATTTTGCAGTTTGTGACCCTTTCATCAATGTCAGCACCATCATCATCATCATCATCATCATCATCACCATCACCCTCACCCTCACCATCACCATCACCATCACCATCACCACCATCATCACAAAAATAATGTTCATCTTGTATGCATGGTCATATTCATCTGTGTCATTCATTTGTTTGTTCCTATTCAAATCAATATCATCCTGCTTCGCGGCAGCTTCTTCAAGCGCCTCCGCTTCTCTCCACTTTTCCCTGGCCGCAGCTCGGCTTTCTGCTCTTTGCGCCACCTCGCGGGCATGCAAAATAGAAGCATCCGGATCGCTGACAAGCCATGCATCGAGCTCACCATGGCAGAATGGCCTCAGTTTCAGAATCTCATTGGCCTCGAGTTTGAAGCTCTCCACAAGTTTTGGAATCGTGGCCAAGGCGATGGCACCGGTCCGGAAAGGCACGCTTTTTTCAGCAAGGCCTTGCCATATGCCACTGCCATCTCCATTCATATCTTCATTCTTATCATTGACATTCTTGCTGACTTTCTTCTCGATGTGCTGCATATGCCCGCTGTTTGATATAACACATGCACACATATGTATATGTAAATGTGTATGTATATAGGCAAACGGTATAACATATCTATAAGAGGATGGGTCGAAACCCTGTACCCCTAACATCAAACTATATAGTATAGCTGGCAAATGGATGTTCATCCCAAAAAATACGGCGGGTATACATATATATATATATATGTGGTTGGTGGTTTTAACCATCTTGAAAAATATTAGTCAATGGGATGATTATTCCCATATATTATGGAAAAATAAAAATGTTTGAAACCACCACACTTTGTCACACTTTGCTCTGCGAAACCACCAACCAATATATATATATGTATTGATCCATGCCAAACACTGGTAAAAATATGCTATAGGTTGCTACAGTCATCCCACCATCATGGATGGGATTCGCCAATTACATGAACATATTAACCACTAGGTTTCGTGAAATTCACGTATACCATATCTATATCTACAAGGCGGGGCCCTCCAGTTTGGTTTGTTAGTATATAACCTCAAGAAAACATTTAATAAAGTACAACTACAGTTCATCACCATAAACCCTGTAAGCCTAGTTCTTTGCAACAATTTAGCTATCATTTGGGGTCCCACTTTGTCACCTTGAAACCGTTTGGGATTTCCCACCTGCCTGTATTTCGCCCCTCCTAACGGCGAGACGTGCCATCAGCATCAAGTCCTGGCTGAGAAATCGATAAATTGATATCTACACAATATGAAATTTAATGGGGTTTAATGGGATTTAGTGGGATTTAACGGAATTTAATGGAATTGAATATTGATGTCTTCCATTAAATCGATAAATAGTGATTTAATGGGATTTAAGCGATCACAAAATGATAAAAAAATGGGATTTAACCGATGAACATGGCAATTTAATGGGATTTAACTGATTTAATTAACCATCAGAAATGGTGATCTACTGTGTTTATCAACAAGAAACATGATATAACAGGATATTATTGAGATTATAGTGTAAACACCGCGCATTTCATGGGTATGTCATGGGGATATAATGGGAAAATTGTACATTAATGCAGGTATCATGGGGAAATGATGCTATCAATGGGAAACGGATAAAACCAATTCGACAATATGTTGGTGATTTTGCCGGAAACCATCGGGAACTCTCGCCAACAGAAATGGTGCTTGAATAAAATTCTGTTGGGACATGACCAGCAACCATGTCCATTGATACTTGAGTGCATGTCAAGATGTTTACCCAACAAGGAAAAAAAACATGTTTTTCAGAGGATCTCTGCGCTTTAGAAGGGGACCCGAAGGGGACCCGATGGAATGGGCAGGGTGACCCCTAAACCACGGCAGATGCTCACTCTTTGGAAGACATGCGGTAACAGGTAGATTCTAGCTTCAGGAGTGACCGTGGTTTTTTTGAAGCCACTGGTTGCCCCCCGCCAGCTTTAGCTATTAGTGGATTGGAGACTGGTATTTCTTGAAAGACTGGTACCGTCTTAGCCCCTTGACTTTGCAATGAAGGCTACTGCTTCAAAAGCGAGGTGTGCTTGGTGGAGTCAATGGAATCGAACTGGAGTAGTACAGCTCGAGGTAGGTGTTGGCATAGAACTTGCATGCCTCTAATGGAAAATTCTAAGGGAGAAATGTGGTGGTACTGGGGCTTGTCTGCTTTGAACAGTGATTCTTGTTCTTCAAGAGGTGGGACAAAGTGAGTGTCTGGAGCTGTCAGATTCGGTGCCAGTACTGTCATCTGGTGTCATGCTTGAGAGCCTCTCAATTACTGAAGGTAGTCCAGGTCTGAGATCTCGATGTCCTCTATGCCAATACTATAAGTATCCCATGATCTAATGGTTACTAACAGTTGATAATGGTGAATCACCATTGAACATATACATGGTCAATCAATCTGACTGGTCATCATGGTCATCCACAAAAAAATAAGTGTCATCTATTTTGCTATGGTCACTTTCTGTTCCAAAAAATGAAAGGTGGTCCAACTACCCCTCCAGTTAAGGATGTATATCCCCTGGTTGCTTTCTCCCGGCCAGCCTCTCCTGGATCTTTTTGGACCTCCATCGCCCCTGCAAGGCCCATCGTAACTGCAGCCCTAGATATGCACCGCCCAGCAGCACGGCCAGCGCCAACACCTCATCCACGGAAGAAAACCATGGAGGAGCCATGTTGGTTACCCTCTGGTTATGTCAAAATAGCTATTGGAAAATGGCCATTGAAATAGTGGATTTACCCATTAATAGCATGGTGATTTTCCATCGTTTTTTGTATGTTGACCAGGCCGGGTACATCACATATACCTTGGGCCATTGGGGGCAAGTCATGCTCCACGGGGTGGGCAAGTCCATAGCTTGCTAGGCTTATACCCGGCCTGGTAAACATGCAAAAAGCGAACTGGAAAATCACCATTTTTAATGGGTAAATCCACTATTTCTATGGTCCATTTTCAATAGCTATGTGAAAAATTACCAGAGGGTAAGTAGCATGACTAGGCTTTCTGATGGTTCTGGTGGATATATCCCTAGTTCATTGGGTTTATATAAACCAACGTTTAAATTACTGTATCGGAGGCCACGGCACCACATTCTATCATCATCCAACCATCATTTATCACTATCATTTGTATCCCGGTATCCCCATATGTTTAATTGTTGACCATAAAACATCTATATTTCAGTATTTTATGGGGAAATTCCATTGAATTCCCGTTAAGCTGTGGGTATCTAGCAACTATAGATGACTATCCAATTATATATTATATCCCATAACATCCTATTAACCACAATACTTTATCCCATTGTTCATTATATCATTGGATATTATACTATCCTATTGTTTTTGGGGAAGTATATCCCATTGTTTATTATATCCCCTTTAAGCATCTACTATAATTCCCGTTACAACCATTTGCAGTTTAAGTCAAGCCCAACTTTAACAAAGGTGCCATGGCAGAGGTTTCATCGGCAGCTGAGGCTCCAAAGGTACCTTGGAAGTTTTGAGCTGAAGCTACCCTTTGGTCATTGGATTGGTTTTGTTGGTAAAATTGAACCCGGAAATCATGTTTTTTACCATTAAAATTGGGGGCCCTTAAACCAATCCAATGGCTTTGGTCATTCAACGTTTTGCCATCGAAAAATCCACCATGTTTCATAGGTAAATCATCATAAACCATCTATGTTCATGGGCCCTGGTTTCCATGACGCTATGTTAAATAACAGGTTAGGTACACAGGACGCATAGAAATTGATAATCCCAGGATCATCCCAGGTAGGATTATCAGCGGATTATATCCATACTGGCCCTAGCCAGTTGCTAAGTTGAAGGATCTCAAAAGAGTATTATACACAGTAAAACATGTGTGTTTCCATAAGTTTTGGGTGATGAAGATCCATAAACGAATATAAAAGACAGCTATCTTACTGTGAACAGAAGGGTTTTGAATGGTAAAATGACCCTGCCTTAGCCAAAACAAACTGTTGCCGCATAAACTAAGTCTTCTTACCAGAAAACATGTTGATTATTGCAACGAAACAAGGTGTTGAGTCGAGGATTCGACGTTCGCAAAGGGGATGATCCACTAGGTAGATCCACTTGTCCAGCTGGACGTATGAACATGCATGTATGAGATGAACATACGAATGTCTGTATATATATATATATATATGTGTGGGGGTCTGTGGGTGTGGGTGTGTGTGTGTGTGGGTGCAGTGTGTGCATATTACACATAATTATATTGTGTCTATCTTGCACGGTTTGTGAGCCACCTTTCCAAACTGGGATATAATACAATCTCGAACAAGTTCCAACTGCTTGTCAGGTTCTACCTGTGTTTTGTCAACTAGGTAGGCGGGTCAAAGCGCAGAGGTGCGTTTCAAACTGGTAGCAGAAGCACCTTTCAATACCATTTGGGTGTGTCTCCAAAATTGGGGCCTTGCATGTGATATGTGGGGGGATATATTTTACAAATATCTAGATATGTTCACCAAGATATATTGATATATAAATATATATATATACTTAAGATTTATAATATCCATTGATATGTGTTTACCGAAGGGAAAGTTATGTGTTGTTCTTCTTCCCAGCTGTAGTTGGACGATTTACCCTCTGGTAAACTAACAGTTTGCGAACTTGAAAATGGCCCAGTCGAAATAGTTGATTTACCCATTAATAGCCTGGTGATTTTCCATATAGATCCAGTGCAAGGTGCAGGCCAAAATCACCCCAAGCATAAACTTCACCAAGCCCATGACTTGCCTCGGGCAAAGCGACGGGCGGATCGAGGAGAATATCTGGGGCAATCCACAAGGGGGATAGATATAACCACAATAAATGGGGGTTTACTTAGTAGGAATAGGTTCATAAGATTTAATGGTGTTCAAGAGGATAAATAGTGTTGGGTAATAGGGATTACTAGGGATTAGTAGGTATTAATAGGGATTACCAGGATTAATAAGGTTTAATAAGGATTAATAGGGATTAAAAGGGATGTATTGGCTATGATAAGGTTTGGCAGGCTTTGGTGGTTAGTTGATGGTCAAATTAGTGTAAACTTGGTAAACTGGCGAAGAAACCCACCATTTTATGGGGATAGAGTGGGAGTATTTGGAGGTTTGATGGGATTTGAATTGGGATACACTGAGACGGGATATGTATGTGTATATATATATACAAATATAATATATAATATATATATATATATATTATATGTATATATATATACATGTATATATATATATATTATATATATTATATATATATATATATTATATACATATGTATATATTTGGGGGGAGAGATATTTTACAAACCAAGACTATGGATAGCAGATATGTTGTTGGTGCAACCCATCAAATGAGGGAATCACCAACAACGGGCCTACTATTAACATGAGTTCATAGGGTTAAAACTAACTATATCTGGTTGGTGGTACCCCTCTGAAGAATATGAGTTCGTCAGTTGGGTTATGAAATTCCCAACTGAATGGAAAAATAAAATTCATGTTCCAAACCACCAACCAGATAGGGTTTGATAGGGTCTCGTTGCATGGGGGAATCACCATCAAATGGGTGAATGAATAATCTTGTCAACAGAATGTGTACAAGCGCTCAGCACACAGTATATATACAGTACATGGGAATGTTTCAGAAACAAGTGGGGACATGGACCAACAATTACCTGGTCGTTGAGCAGTCTAGACCATCCTCCCATTTAAGTAGGAACATAGAAACAACACATTCTTTAACCACCATTATATAGGATAATAGAGGAATGGGAACATCATCCCATTTGTAGGAACATCATCCCATAATAAAACCACCAAACAAAGATATTTTCCATGCCAACTTCAACCTTTCTTGATGTCTGATCGAATGCGAAGTTTCCCCTACAAGGTTGGGTTTTGGGGCCGCTAGCTGAGTTGATTAATAGCTGAGGACTGTTGTCTATGGTAGGTATATCTACAGCTAAATGTGGTTTATATACATATATATATATACATAATTATATATATAAACCTTCAAACATCACTGTGGAGCACCAATTGATCCAGAATCTATTCCAATATATCCCATTCAATATTCCTACTATGGTATATATTTTCCATAAATGGGGGTACCCCCGAGTTCTCATCCATTTTAGATTGGGATTTTCTATGAAATAAACCATCCAGCGATCAAGGGGTATCCCCATGACTATGGAAACCTCCATGATTTGGTGGTTGTGGGTTCACCCACCCAGCTATGACATTATGACATAAACCCAAAATCCCCAAAATCCCACATGATCTAACGGTTAAATCATGTGAAACCCTCTGGTAAACATACAAAAAGCGAACTGGATAACATAGCGAACTGGAAAATCACCATCCGAAAGAGTTCGGTAAATCAACTATTTCTATGTGCCATTTTCAATAGCTATTTTGACATAACCAGAGGGTAAATCACCATGGTTTCCCATCAAATCACCCATAAAATCCCATGGAAAATCACCATGGTTCCTGCCAGGACACAATCTGGAGTGACACCGCCACCAGCTCGTCTGCAGTGTCAGGCACGCCTGTCGCGGCTTTTTCGCTTGGACCAGGACCATGGGAATATTCAAAATATTCAATGGTAAACTAACATAGACCCTGGCAGATAGGGGTTGGAAGACTAGTTTCCATTAAAAATTGGTGATTTTCAGGGTCTATGTTTATTTACCAGAGGGTATTCGATGGAAGATTCCCAGATATGGGTTACAAATGGCTTATAAATGGGATTAAACCATAACTGGCTGGTGAAAAAACCAACCCCTCTGAAAAATGATGGAGTTAAAGTCAGTTGGGATGCTGACATTCCCAACATATGGAAAATAAAAGCCATGTTCCAAACCATCAACCAGATATGATCTGATGAGATTTTCCTATTTTTTCCCATGAGATAAAAGCCATGTCCCAAACCACGAACCAGAAAATATCATCATATTCCCATTGCTGTTGGTTTATAGCTTATGAAAACCATAGCATAAATAAACCATCAAATGCTATTCTGATAAGATCTATATCCGCTTATCCCTGGAACTGCACCCCCTCAAGTACTTGTTGGTAGAGGTTTACCCACATGTTCATGGTTGACTTCGGTTAAATCCCTATATGTTGATGGTAAACCCTCCATTATTGGTTGGCTAGCTTACATTTTGCGTATTCAAACCACCCTTCAACTTTAAACAATACTATTTCACCAGTTGTTTCATGGTTAAATAGTTAATTCCCAATTTTTCATCATTACTGGCTGAATGATCATATTTCACCAACCTAAAATCATACTGCAACGTAATTCACCCAGATACAAACTCCCATTTTTTGCCCAGTTATGCGATGCTGTAAGTTGGCTTCTGTTCATCTGCACACCTATTCATCACAAATCCTTGTGAAATTAATTGTATAACTGGTTGGTGGTTGAGCCACCCTTGTGAAAAATATGCTCGTCAGTTTGGATTATGACATTCCTAATATATGGAAAGTCATAAAATTCCATGGTTCCAAACCACCAACCAGTAATTCTATAATATAGTTCTACATAGTTATACCATCCGCTGGCAACCAAACATGGCAAATTGGATTTGCAAATGTTTCCTAGCTAAAAACCTCCATTTAGTTCGGCGATTTTCCATTTCCATCGTTGATTTCCAAGGCATAAACCAACGAATATTCCCCGAACTGATACTCAAATTATCAAGTGTTCAGTGTTCATTGCAGTTTTAAGTTATTGGTTTATGTTTACTCATCCAAATGCAAATTCACAAAGCCATCCCAGTATATCCCTGCTATCAGAGGTTCTAAACCAACGAGCCTCTGCTATAAAGAACACAGCTATGGAAAATCACAATGCTTGATGGGTGATAGGTCTGATAGGTAACTCGTCGAACTAAATGGTCATTTTTCCGATGTGTGAAATTGCCACCGAGTACATCACTTAATTTTCATTGCTTAAACATGGTTAAACCATCCTGTTCATTGGTACATCCTCCATTTTTGAGTACCATCATTGGGGTCGTTTTTTGGTCGAAATTCGCATGAATTGATTCGGCGTTGGATTTTTATCACCTTGCAACATTGGATCCGGGTGGTGGGACGCTGGTCAAAATTGTCAAGCAGATAACTCTGGGCAATATCAATCTGTTCTTCGATTTCCTCTGCCCAGGCCTGTGTTGCCAGAGTTGAGAGCATGCTTTCTGCTTCCAGGTTTTTTAAGAGGGGCTTGGTAAATCGCCCTGCAACATTTCAGGATGGATCTAGCCCGCCAGCGTCACCAGGAGCTCGACGCGGGTTGGCCATGGATGGATCGCTAGAAATTCAGACCATCATCGAATGATAATGGGAATGGTTATTGATGGTTCATGATGGTTAATGATGGTTTATGATGGTAATATGGGCCAAAACTGGGAACATGATGTGATTTGCAATGGTCATATTCTCCGTAGTCCCTATGATATTTCCCATGATATCCCAAAAAATATCTCATCTTTCATGCTTTGCCCCGTCGGATTTTTCTTTCCCCCCGGACAACATCCCCGCCTGACGCAAAGCTATAGCCTCACTGATCCTTGGGAACGCCTGAGAGACATGGCCTGGAAAATGCAGGTAGCACCTCGGTCGCAACGCTCGTCACCATCTGGTAATGTAACGAGCGTATCTATGGGAAATGGATCATAGAAATAGATGTTTTACCTATCAAAATGATGATTTTCCATGTCAAAGGAGATGATTTGGGTGAAAAATGTGGCGATTGTCGGGCTTTTATGAAGCAACAATAATATAGATTGGTAAAAGGTGAGATGATTGGCTGCAAAAATGGGGTGGTGCAATGATTGGTTTTTGAGGCGAGAAGAATAGATGGAAAAAGTATGGAAAAGTTGGATTTTGGTTTATCTGATTGGTGGTTTCAACCCCTCTGAAAAATATTAGTCAGTTGGGATTATTCTTCCCAAGAATTATATGGAAAGTCATAAAATTCATGTTCCAAACCACCAACCAGTTATGGATGTTTGCTATGACTAGAGAACATGTTAGAGCAAGTTTGGTGGCGCGTTTAGGTGGTTAAGGTACCGTGTCCCGAGTTATGTTGGGGCCTCGAAGCGACAAAAACAGATGTGTTGTGCCCTCCGGCAATCAAACGTGGCCATGGAAAATCAACAATTTATAGGGATTTTCGCAGTAGAACCTCGATCTTATGATTGATAGGAATGATTGATCCACATGTAATCATAGCATGGATCAATCATAGCAATGGCCATGGAAATCCCATTTATAGCAATAGGGATTTATAGGGATTTCCGTTGCTATGATTGATTACATGAGGGTATGTATGATTCGATCTTGTGCAATTCCCGCATTTTCGATGCTACTCGCGTTGATTGCAAAGGTTTTCTCAGTCACCGTCAGTGATTTCCTTGGTCCTTGTGGGAAAATTAACATCAGGGTCAGTTTACCAAGTATATATATATTATATTATATATATATATTATATATATATATATCATCATTTGCCCAAATTGATTGGGGGTTAATATCTGTAAATTCCGATCGGTTCCATACCTGCCAATTTCGATGCCTAAGAATAACCAGGTTGTTTAGTGGCAGAAGCATCGAAAAAACCTTCCTGCTAACGGCTGAATCCAACTTGTTTATCATGGAGAATTTACCGAAGTGGGTGTGTTTGTCTGAATTTAGGAACCTGCCAAATTCACTGCTCATCAGTTTATAATTACCTATCAGTTGTTTATGGTTTATCATCAATTAAAGTTGTCATCATACCCACAGGGTGGTGCCTCATAGTTAGCCAAGTTGGTTTATAAGTCCAATAACTGCTGGGTTTATCGTAGATAGTTGCTGTGGCTATAGCCGCCAGGCGCTTTGTGTTGCCCGGGGAATGATACTGCTGTTCCCGAAACGTTCGTGACCAGGATGATGATGATTACTATCCAATTATTATCACCATGTTCAGATAATCATGATGATCAAATGAGCACTCTCGTAGCTGCTGACTTTTTTTGATCCCTGAATGTCATCGCGATTATTTGATTATACATGTACAGTATATATATATATAATCATATGTATGTATTCGTCGGGAAGCCTCCTCAGAGTGTTGACATGTCTTGACCATAGAGCCATCAAGCCCTGAGCCAAGTCGCTGGGCCAGTCTCAAACAGAGCTTTGCTTGGAATTCCCCAAGCCTGAGAACAGCCCTGGGATTTATGGATGTTCCCCCCCCAAAAAGAAAGTATAAATAAATGGTGTACATAATGTGATTCAAGCACTGTCAAGGTGTACATACTTGGTATAATAAATGGTGTACATACTTGGATACGAGCAAATAAATATAACAGATTCTAAATGTGGTTCAAGGTGTACACATTTAGCGTAGCGTATCGAATGATGGCCGTGAACCATCCCAATTGGCAGCTGAATAATCCCATCAACCAAATTAAGCACCCCCTCAATGGTCCCAAGGAAAAGTAAAAATGTTAGTACCTATGTTCGTAAAACTGTACTACTAAACCATGGCTGGTTGGTGGTTGACCTACCCCTCTGAAAAATGATGGAGTGAAAGTCAGTTGGGATGATGAACTTCCAAACTGAATGGGAAAATAAAATTCATGTTCCAAACCACCAACCAGTATATATCATCATATTCCCATAGTTGTTGGTTTATAGCCTATCAATCACTATTAACCATCACTATTACTATCATCACTAAACTATGGTTTCTAGTGGGTGTTTTTAATATTAGGGGGATGGGCTTGCCATTGATCCAGGCTCCTAGCCAAGGCGCTCAAAGGATCTGAGGGGATAAATGGGGATACCCCCAGTAATGGATGGTTCATATATTTCATGGAAAATCCTACTAAAACAATGGATGATTTTTAGGGGTATACCCATGACTTAGGAAACCTCCATATTGAATAGACCATCATGTAACATCAGGTTTGATGATTAAATACTCAGTCTTTTTTGGCTAAATGCTGAGCAAACACCAGCGGCTAACCCATGCTGCTAGGTTTCTCCTTCGGTGGAAGTGTCCAACTTCCGCTCAACTCCTCCTTCGACAAAAAGTCCTGAGCGCGGGATGTGCGGGGACCGTAAGGGCAACTTCCACCCGAACCGTCGGCGACTTCAACCCAAACCTGATTTATCAACCTAAAACTGTCTTACAGATAGTTGGTACCACCAACCAAAAAAAAAGTGTAGGGTCATAGATAGTTTGCGCCACAAACTCCAAAAAACAAAGTGTTCAAATGAATCAAGTCTAACCTATAAAACCACTCTTATGAATCGTCCCAAAACTGTTCCACTCTGGTTTCACCAATGGGGCAAGCTTCGTACAGCAGTGTGTTTCATTTTTGGTTGGCGTACTCCCTCTGGAATATTGAATTTCAATATGTTGGGGTTGTGTTCCCGTTTGGTCGGCTGTATCCAGTGGGTGATATCTGGTGTGTTGGTAAAGATAGTAGCATCCCAGTTGTACAGAGAAATGGTCTGTTGATCTCCTGATGAAGCTCCATTTTGGCAGCACAGTTGTTTCAGTACAGTAAATCTACGCTCCGGTAGTCAAACGTGACACTGGAATATCCACCACTTACAGACTTACAGATGATTTTGTTTCCCATTGAAACCTCCATTCATAGGGGATTGACCACTGCCATGTTTGATTACCAGAGGGTAACCCCAGTTGGAAACCCATTCGCCAGTTTCATCCTGGCTCTGAGCTGGCAACCTACGGCAACATCAAAAACCACTTAAAAGATCTTCCAAGCCAGTTTTTGTCTAAGCATGTTTCGCATATGTTCACATCATTTCAGATGAATAGATAATCCATCCAACAATCCGTAAGGTTAATCATGACATCTATTTTCTACCCTGCATTGCATGTCTTTTCTTTTCCTGGTCTGTCTGTATATAACAAAAGACTACTGCTAAGTACGAAAGTACCCATCCAAGGTTTCCCGAGTAATCTCCCTATCTTTGTTAATTTTGAAATGCCCATTGGCCCATGGGGGCTTTCTATCCACTAGTCAAAACCGATGATCGTGGAAGTTAGCATCCGTGCTACAACCCATTGTACAAAGAACCGTCCTAATCATTTACTAACTTTCAAGCGTCCAGTCGTGTCGCGTAATCCCCAAAACTTCCAATAAAAACCCAATGACCCCACTTGTACTTGCCCAATCTTTACTTAAACTTCTTCCATAACCCCTGCAAAATGACCTCAATGTTCACAAATCTCAATAGCCCCAAGTTTTTCCTTCTTTAAGGCTTCCATAAAAAAACGCCGTTCCAACCTCTTCCAACCCCTGCACTTGCCGTGCCACTCCCAGCTGTGCAGTGCAGCCATCCAGGAGCTGTGTCACCTGCGCTCCATCCTTCCTAGGCTCTGCCACGCAGTAGCCATGGCCCCGTTTGGCCATCACGGGGACGCTGTTCGGCGATTCCAGTGACATGGCCTGAGAGGAATTCCACCCCAGGCTATACCAGGCTGCTTGGTGGTTGACCTACCCCTCTGAAAAATGATGGAGTTCGTCAGTTGGGATGATGACATATGAATTATATATATGAACAATAAAAAATGTTCCAAACCACCAACCAGCAGGTGTTCATAGCTTTTCCCACAGATCCAGAAAAAAAAGGTTGGGACCAGCCCGCAACCCAGTTTTCTGGTGGATGACATGAATGAAACAACTGCGGCCCAACCTTCACCGGGTCATGCTACAACCACATCACAGGAAATGTTGTGAATGACACTAATATTCATGTGGCAACCACATTATGAAACATAGTAGGGATTGTATGTTGGTAGAGGTTGTTTCAGGTTTTCCTTTCTATTTTTGACACAAGTGTTACTTCAGTTCATCTGTTCTTGTGGACAGATAAAGTCATCCATTTGAGCAGTGGTCAAAACCATCGCCACCGAGAAGCATAGTGGACACGAGATTCCACATATGCAGTCATGTAGCGTGCTAAGGCAGCCTGATAGTCGCCCAGAGACAGCAAGCGAAAGGCGAGATCGTCCTAGCAGAGGCTCGCGAGGCGAAAGTTTCTCCCATCAAAAAAAAAACACCCCCTAAACGGTCCCAATGATGTGGAAATTTCCTACTAACCACGGTTTCTAGGGAGTGTTTAAGATTGGAAGGGACTAATGGGATTTCATAGGATATGTTTCGGGATATCATGGGATATACAACCTACTTGGGGGTGTCGGCCAGGGCGCATTTTCATGGGTATAACCATGCACACTTATTAGTGGAACAGCACCCCCAAGTAGTTGGAGGTAAAACCCAAGAACATCACCGACCAAGTTTTTGCATGGAAAAAAATGTGATTCATCAGTAGATCTAGAGGTAGATCTATATAAGGGAAAATGCTTAGTAATCAATAAAACTCGGGGTATATAATCAATCATTTGGTTCTGAATTGGGAATTACCAAATGAACTACTTTGGACATGTGGGATATATGATCAATATGTACCAATAATATCCAATAATGCCAAATTATATATATATATTATAACCATATAAAATCAGGTTTTCCAAACATGGGCATTTACATACACCCATACATGGCAATTTGATGGCAGGTGAAAGTGCACATGTCTTTTTGACAGAGGCTGTTATCCATTCTCTTCCCTCATAGTCCCTGATACGAGACGAGACATCATCATATTGCTGACCCTACATAGTGACAATCACACATTCTTTCATGAACGAACGTGGCCCAAAAATAACATCCAACCTGAATTAGCTAACATGTTTATAAATCAGCTATAAATCCAATAAAAAAAATCCTATTTCTTGGTTTCCCCATTTTCTTCGTGAAATCACCCAGTTTTCTCGGTGAAATCACCATTTTCCCATGGTTTTCCCATGGTTTTCCCATGGTTTTCCCATGATTTTCCTATGGGCCTGGCATTTTTGGTCCTGTTCCTCGGGCTCCACCTGGTCATTTCGCGTCTCGAAGCTTTCCAAGGGCATCAGCTTGGTGAGATTCACCTGGGTTGATGCTTCTGGGGTTCATGGTTATGAAGGCTATCTATAAATGGATATTAATGAAAGTGTTCTATAAATCCATTTAGATGGTTATGAAATGGATATATAAATGGATATCTATTTAGTCAACATAGATAGATTCCATATCCATATCCATTTATAGATAAATAATCATTAATGGATATGTGGTTTTTCTATAAATGGATATCTATTTAGTCAACATAGGCTATCTATAAATGATACAATATGGCTATCTATAAAGGTTATCTATAAATGGTACAATATGGCTACCTATAAATGGAAGTCTTCATGGGAAATCATCTATAAATGCCGGATTTTCCATTGCAAAGTCTGATTACCCGAGGTTATGGAATGGTGAATGGATGTTGGTTATGGTGAATTCATTATGGTGTATCATATGTATATATATATATTGCTATGAACTATGTGACTATGTATTGCGAACTGAACTATATATATGGTCTATGTACTTTGCTATGAACTTTTATTTCATATATGGGCTATATATATATATTATATATACAATATCTTGACTATTAGACCATTAATCAATGGATTGGTTTCAGGGAAATCTACAGGAACCCCCATATTTCATAAGAAAATCCATGGTTCCCGGTTTCGATTTTCCCTTCAACCAATCCTCTGAATTCATGGTCTATGAACTTAGATTACTATGATGGTGGAAGTTTGATGTTCTGGAACTGAGGAATGGAGGTTTAAATGGAAATAATATCCTTTTTGGACATTCGCTATTCTATGTATTTTGTTTGGAACAGGTCTGATTTACCGATCTTTCCTGGAGAAATGGGGGTTCAATGGTGAATAATGGTGATTCATCATGGTTAATAATGAGATATCATGTATTTACTGACCAACCAGTATAATGGTGGTGAACAACTGGTTGGTGGTTTTAACCATCTTGAAAAATATTAATCAATGCGAAGGATTATCCGATTATCCCATACATTATGGAAAATAAAAAATGTTTGAAACCACCACTTTCTCACTTTCTTGTGCGCGCAACGTCTCAACAACGTTACCCGTCTTGGGTAAATCTAACGAAGGCTGGTGATCAAAGTCCGTTCAAGTCCTTCCAGTGAATGAATGTAAGGCAGACAGTCCACAGCCTTAGATTGTCTTCTAAAAGCAAATGGAATGCAACTGGTTTCAAACAACCAGACAATAGTTGATAATAATAGTTAATAATTCTGAATCGTGGTGACGTTTAACCGAGAAATGGACATTGAAATGGAACTTACCACAATCTATAAATGCTTTTCCCTGCTAGGCTATACATAAACCTCTATCAAAATGGCATGGCCATAACCGGCGGGATCACCCTTACATGGCCGTTTACCCTCTGGTAAACATACAAAAAAGCGAACTGGAAAATCAGCATCTGAAAAAGTTCGGTAAATCAAATATCAATCTGGGTAAATTATAATATTTCACTAATCTGAATTAAGGCCATAAAAGGGGATGATTTCCCTTGTTATCCATGATTCCAGGGCTCGGTCGCAGTGAGGTCGTTATAATTTGCCCAGATCAATGGACCATTTTCCAGTTCACAAACTGTGTCATGACCAGGCCGGGTTTTTATGGAAATGATCTCGCAGGGTCCCATTGTATGACAGGAGTATATATCCCTCAGTATAACCCCCCAAAATGTGTGGGTAAAACACAACGCCATTTGCACCATCCCCCTGGAAAAAATCACCATAAATATATAGGTGGTATAAACTTACCATTCCCAGTCATGGGTGGTAAACATGACATTGTTTTACCCACATCTATGTTACGGGATGGGTGTTCTCTAACCAACTGGATATAATACCGAGGATCCAGGATCATCCCACATATCTCATAAGTGGGTCCCATAACCCCAGTCAGTGAGGTAGCCATGGATAACTGGGCTTTTGGGGGAGCCAAGTTTTTTATTGTGGACTCAATGACTTCAATGATAGCTACCCTCAAATGGTGATCAAACTTGGCCGGATGGAGGTTTATGTAATGACATTAACTTACGTTTAAGCATTTCTTTGGGCCAGCGCCAACCGCCAACATTTCGATGTTTATCCCATATGGTTCCATGAACACTTTGGATTTACCAGCTGAAATAGGGATTCAATGACTTACCCTCTGGTAAACATACGAAAAGCTATTGAAAATGGCCATAGAAATAGTTGATTTACCCATTGTGATTGTCAATAGTTATGTTAAATTACCAGAGGGTAAGTCATGGCTTTACCAGCTGAATATCATTACCAAATTAGTGGGAATATTGTGACTAGAAATGTCCAGTAGTATTATACCGTGTGCTTCTATTTATTACGGTACATGTAGTAGCCTTCTGGGTTTTCAAAAGCTATTTGAAACAAAACCAACTCATTATGACAATATATAAAATATCAATATTGTTTAGCAAGTTTATATCTACATAAGCTTTGACTGCATAGGTCAAATCTATATAAACGCACATATATAATCTTGAACAGTAGAAGGATCTTGCAAAGGCATTTTTTCAGAGTTCCATGTTTACCAGTTGAACCGTGAAAAAATACCCCCATCCCATCCAATCGAACATTGGTTGCTAAATGGTTTTCCCAGAAAATTCTGGATTGTCATAAACATTCATAATTTATAATCCGTAATAAACCAGGTATGCCAGGTAGGTCAACAACCACCTATGTATGTATATATATATATACATATAATATCATATATATATATATTAACCAATCAGCACTAGTATTTTCAATGGCTCATTTATACCCATTTTCTTTACCAAGTGACCAGCAAAGCAGTGTTCCAAATCCTCCGGCGTCCCTTGATACTCCCTGGTTAAGAGGTATTCCCAGTTCATGGAATATGATAATGACAAAAAAAATAATGGCATCAACCACCCATAATTTATCAGTTGTATCTAATTCTATCACCATGTGTATTCATGGTAAACACCTATTATATGACTATAATGTGGGTAAAACAATAACAAGCCATCCCCAAGTCATCACCATTTTCATAGGAGGTATGTTTACCATGCCCAAATGGGTGCTTTATGGCATTGTTTTACCCACATGAATCATCCCTATAATCCCTATATAATCCTACGTAATCCTATATAATCCCATTAATCATCCTACAATCCTACATAATCCTCGGCTCTATAACAGGGTGCTTTTTCCCGCCCAAGCGCCCAGATTTCCTCCTCTTCTCTCTCCTACGTGGTCAGATCCCTGATCCCGTACCCTGCAGAGGTTGTCCATCTGAACGTGGTTGGACCAAAGTTGGACCATCGGAAAATGCCATGGAAAATGCCATGAAAACCATGGAAAAATGCTATGAAAACCATGGAAAATGCCATGAAAACCATGGAAAATGCTATGAAAACCATGGAAAATGCCATGAAAACGCTGACTGAAAATGGTGATTTACCCTCTGGTAATTTAACAGAGCTATGGAAAATTGCCCATGTATAGACGATTTACCTACCAAAAATTGTCATGTTCCATAGCTATGTCAAATTGCCAGAGAATAGTGGTGATTTCATGGGGTATGTACATTGGATTATATTGGGATGCACAGGAGATGATAATGGGATATTCATAACCAACTTGATATGTGCCGTGGTCAAGTTGCATGAGATGAACGGGGTCGAGGGCCATCCAACCATCATGAATGGGGTTCCCGAAGTAATGGGTACATTAACCCTATGAAGATAGTGGCATGACAATCCCCTTTTATGGAAAAATAAACCATATCTTGACCATAGCACTGTTTCTTCTGTTTTCTTCCCTGGAACCATGGCCAATCCTTAGCTACTCAGCTACTGCGTTTTCTGTTGGTTGGTTGCTATATTCTCCCATTTATGGCATTCAGTTCTATTGAACTACCCGTCACGACGGTTGCAGTAATTAACTATATACCATATGTTTGCTATTTTTGGCCCTGCTTTGGGGCTCTATGTTTGGGTTTGTCTGAAAATGGGATACCCAACTATCATACTGCGGATGGTTGCGAAATCCTGCACCACCAAAAGATCAAAAGGATGGCTGAAACCCAAACCAAATTTCATGGGATGTTTTAGTTTTAAAACCACCGTTTTCTGGATTTCGCTGCCGCATCCACAGTATATCAAAGTAATGAGATCATATTTCCATATGTATAATATACTATCAGTGTATATTACCATATATATCCATTGAACTCTCCAAAAAAAGCCTGGTTTTTTGGGTGAACAATTCTTCACCCAGTCAATCCCCTGGATTTTTTTGAGGGATTACACTAACCAATACTCGGGGTATATATCAACTCAGTGGGTTAGTTCTAAGGGACTATACTACCAACCATAAAAAAAAAATCATATACTAATCTAAGGGATATCAAAATATATCACAGTGTCACAATACCACAATATAGTAATATCTGGTTGGTGGTTTTGAGCCACCCCTCTGAAAAATGATGGAGTTCGTCAGTTGGGATGATGAAATTCCCAACTGAATGGAAAGTCATAAAAAAAATTCCATGGTTCCAAACCACCAACCAGTTATGATCTGATGAGATTTTCCTATTTTTTCCCATTTGTTGTCCATAGAAACCTCCACAATATACAATCAGAATACTTAAAAAATTAACAATTTGTCTAACCATTAAAAAACAAATTCTATAAATGATATTCATTAACCACCAACCAGATGATTCATTAACCAAAAAACCTCCATATTTTTCGGATGGTTACGAACCATATCCCGATCAATCCTCTGGGTGAAGCTCCACCACCTTGGCTTTCTGGTCCTTGGGATGCGTGACTTGTTCCGCCCGAAGTTTTTATGACCATGAAAATGCCATGGAAAATGCCATGAAAACGCTGACTAATGCCATGAAAACGCTGACTGGAAATGCTGATTTACCCTCTGGTAAACTAACAGTTTAACAGAGCTATGGAAAATGGCCATAGAAATGGTTGATTTACCTATTGAACATAGTGATTTTCCATAGTTATGTTAGTTTACCAGAGGGTATACTGAGATGCAATAGAATGGGATATTACTGATCAACGGATGTAGTATTTGGGTGTCTTGTAGTATTTGAGTATCCCTCCACATCAACCACACTTGAAGCCCCTTTTCATATGCGTGGGGTTATAGGACCCCAAACTGGGGTAATAATTCTACTTGCACAATTGGTGGTATGACTGGACTTATAATTACCCTAGGGTACGGGAAATGATCTAAATTCATGGTGGGTTTCCACATCTATTTTATGTTTACAGGAGGATAAGTGGTAAAGTTTTCTGGGCCATCCACATCAAAGGCACGCGAACTTCAAGCACTCTCACCCGGCGCTTTTCCTGCCGCTGCCCCATCGGCATGCGCATGATCAGTTCCTCCATCCCACCCATCATGGCGACGTGCGATTGGGTTTGGTTACGGCTCCAACATGCTCAAAGAATTAGGAAAAGTGATGGTTGAAAATCAGGTTGAAAACCAACCCATTTATGGGAATATAGCGGAATATCATGCAATATATATATATACAGTATTGCCATACTCAAATCATATGTGTATATATATATATACATATTCCATGATATTGTTGGCAATATTCAATATATATATATATTTAGTATAGCCAACAATATGTATATATTGTTGGCTATGGACTGCCCAAATCCTCTTTCAATTGATCATCTCTCACAGCTATCTCGGCATATAGGCCGTCTATGCATCAATATTGAAGACACAAGGAACAATTACCAGATGGTCAATTAACATAGACCCTGAAAATCACTAATTTTTAATGATGGAAACTAGTCTTCCAACCCCTATCTGCCAGGGTCTATGTTAATATACCAGAGGGTATAGATTTATAGATAGCCCATGCTAATAACCATACTAGAATCAGTGTTGCTTGATCACTCTTAGCAGCTTAAACATACATCAAACATCATGAAACTGCTCCGCTGCTCCGTTTGAGCCAGGAAAAAGATGGCCGCGATGTGGGACATCCCAGGGTTTACAGTCCTAATTTCCTTAGTCAATAATTATCCCAATGAATGATCATTTGGATCATTGTTACAAACCCACTGGATAACATTTAAAAGGATAATTGAAAATTGGTCATACTAATCAATCATTTAAAAACTGGAAAACAAGTCAGTATGACACATTTTCGAAAAAAAAAATACTGTAACCCAATTTTTTTCATGGGTTTTTGTGGATTCACCATATTGGGTACTGTAATGGATCAATAAATCAACAATGATTACCCTCGGGTAAACATACAAAAAAACTATCGAAAATCACCATTTTGCATAGCTAAAGCAACAAACTATACATGGGGTATATGTTCAATAGCAAACTATGTAACAAATTACCAGAGGATAATGGGATTATATAGGATTTATATAGGGTTTATATAGGGATTATGGGATGATTAATGGGATGATTTTCCTGCGGTTTTCATGGCTGTTCTCTCATTGGATGGGCCACATTGGATTCCAAACGAACTAGCCATCATTATTGACCCATTCACATCCATTCACCATTAATTATGTTGATGATCCAATGAATGACCAAAAATTGACCACTTTGTTGAATGAAATGATGATAATATGATCCATTGATAATATATTGATCATCCATTCACCATATTTTCAAATTATTTATTATGATCCAATATGACCCATTATCCAATAAGATAATAAAAACATACACACGTGTCCAGCCTTATGGCTGTAATTACCTATCATGGCTTGGAACAACCCGATTACCACGTTGATCAAAATGAGGCAAATGATACCCGCATACTCCTCCAATAGTCATAATCTGATACTTAAATGGTACCCTCCCAATTAAACAGCCTAGAGGTTTATCAATCCAGGGTTGACATTACTCCCATGCCCCAACATCGAATACTCTCAATTCCCATCCATTTCATGGATTCAGACCAAGGCCTTCCATTGATATGTACTATCATTGGACAAGCGGGTTGCATGAAGGACCTACGCATTGAATTTCCTGACTTCCGAAAGCTCCTGTTCTTGATGACTTTTTGGTAATACCACCAACTGCTGCTGGTTGTACTTTCACTAGTATATGTATATATACACATTATATATATATATAATTACGTGTATATATATATATAATTACGTGTGTGTGTATATATATAATATACATGGTAATCACAGAGGTTTCGGACTGGGTGGCCAATGGATATCAGTCTACTGGTAGGCCGGCAGGATGTATGATAATAAGAGGTCAGTTGGGTGAAATCGCAATTACTCTCCGCAACAACAATAGATTTGGTAATCTCGTTCTTCAACTGGGCAAGGGCACAATTGGCCCAGATTCTACATCAACCAATTCCCGGTCGGCCGGCTTACCCATGAATTGCCCTCGGCCGGCTTACTCATGTTGGCTAAATCCCCTAGTTATGTAGATCAGTTGTTCTGGTTAAAATCACTACAGAGATGCCGTTTCGACCAGGTGTCCGGCCCGACCGTTCTCTTCGGGTGATAGGCTACGGCTGGATATGCTGAGGAGGCATCCCAAAAATAGAATCAACATGTTCCGGTAACGATGCCAATGCTGGATTCAGCAACTGGAAAGAAAACAATAATCTTCAGCAAATCTACCTTCTGGTACTCTCAACATGGCAAGGGAAAATCACCACATTTATAGGCATCTAAATGGAAATATCATCGAACTAAAGTGGGAATTTCCAGAAGCCATGTTTGATGACACCGAAGGGTAAGCTTACCCCGTGGTACTTTAAGATAGCTATTTTTCAAATGGCCCATGTATAGTTGATTTACCTATATAAAGATGGTGATTTATAGTTATGTTAATTAACCAGAGGATAATAACCATGTGTATGCGACGACTATGTTTCTATGATATCGCCAGTTATGGCCCTTTACCAGTTAAAGTACTTATACTGGTTGGTGGTTTCAACCATCTTGAAAAATATTAGTCAGTTGGGAATATTATTCCCAATATATGGAAAAATATAAAATGGTTGAAACCACCAACCAGTTATAAGTACTTATGGGTAACCATGCATGCCAGATAATGCTGGGATAATGTATACCAGTTACCTGATAAATGGGATATAACCAGTTAATTACCAGTGTTACTTGGTACTAATAGGATTATACCAGCATTTATATTATAATTATATTCATGCCATATTATAATGGATATTTATGCCACACTATATTCATACCAGGATAATAACTTTGTGTATACAGACTATAATTTCTATACTATGGACTATAATATCGCCAGTTATGCCCCTTTACCAGTTAAGAGTAGTTATGCTACTTGGTGGTTTCAACCCCTCTGAAAAATATTAAAGTCAGTTGGGATGCTGAAATTCCCAATATATGGAAAGTCCTAAAAATTCATGTTCCAAACCACCAACCAGATTTTATAGATGTTACTTGGTACTTTCATGGCATGTATAATCCCATAGAAATAGCCAGTTGTATTCAGCACCCAGCCTGACCCACAATGATGCAATCTCTGGCGCTTGGATACCTGGAAATGGAAATTCAGATAGATCCATAAGGAGTTAATTGTGATTTAATATAATTTAATATGCTTTAATTGTGATTTAATGGCTATTTAATATGATTTAATGGCTATTTGATCGGGATCCAATGGTGATTTCATAGTGATTAGATGGTGATTTCATGGTGATTAAAGGGGCAGGGATCACTATGAAACCCCTCAGATCTTTCTGCCAAGTGACTAACTAGATGAAGTGGGGAATCGCTCATTTTCAGCCAGCGTAGCAGTAGCAAGCATTTACAACCATTACCGAAGAGTTCTCTAAAAGTCTGCACGACTTTCTTAATCCATTCCTGATTGAAGGACATATCGAGACTTTCACCAAAAAAGTCAATAAAAACAAGATTTCTTGACACACCCACCATCATCTGAGAGGTTGAATAAGCCATCAGAAAACCAGTTGCTTTTGGGGTTTTCTAACATTGGGGAATGATTCTTACACCAACAAAAATTTCATCAATGGGATGTCAATTTACATGCCCAGTGTTACCCAGTGTGTATCCCCCCAGATTTTTTGTTGATGGATCGCTCATTGGGGATGCAACCCAGTTGTGGGAATGGGGGGAACGGAACTGCGAAAAACTGACTGTAGCGACTTCATAGATCTATATATATATATATATGTATAACTGCTTGGTGGTTTTGCGCCACCCCTCTGAAAAATCTGAGTTCGTCAGTTGGGATGATGAAGATATCCCAACTGTTTCTGGAAAGTCATTCAAAATTCCATGGTTCCAGTCACCACCAACCAGCTATAAAAAAAACCAATGGAAATCCCCATTTTCTGGGTGAAATCCTCAGATGCGCACGACAGGCCCACGGGGGGCGTGTCTTTCACCGAAAAGACCAGCTCGGTCTGGACCTGGCCACGGTCCGAGGACTTGAATATGAAGGTTATTTTCATCAGGAAAATGGGGTGTACCCTCGAACAGTTAATTGATGAACTAACAGTTGGTTATGGTTGTGGTTATGGTTCATGATCTAAAGTTGGTTAATTATTCCATTATCTTTTTCATATGGTTAATTGATCTAATGGGTTAATTATTCATTAATGTAGCCTCTGGCAATTACAATTCGCGAACTGGAACACCACCATCTCTTTCTGTTCGGTAGATCAACGAACTCAATGAACAATTTTCAATAGTAACTAACTGGGGAAAAGATACGTAGTATTACGTAGTTATTTTAACTGGTTGGTGGTGCAAGAACCATCTTGAAAATATGAAAGTCAATGGGAACGATTATCCCATATATTGTGGAAAATAAAAAATGTTTGAAACCACCAACCAGTTAATAAGTGTGAACTGAGAACTTATGGAAAATGTAGATTTTTTATACGGAAAATGTGGACTTCATTGGAGAAAATGTGTAACTGCTGGGCTATCACCCACATAAGACCAGGTTGTAAATATGGTTCTTGCCCACTTAAGCGGGATGCACCCAACTATCCATTCAGATTGAAATAGCACAAAATGGTTGATTAGGAAGTGACTCAGTGGATAGTTTTTCACGAATATCCATTCATTCATTCACCGTTCCAGACATGGGAATTCAGTTACAAGTTACAGTGCTAGTTGAAGAATATATTTGGCCTTACCCTCTGGTAAACTAACATAGCTATTGAAAATGGCCATAGAAAAAGTGGATTTACCCATTAAAAATGAACATTTTCCATAGTTGTGTGTAGGTTTACCAGAGGGTAAATGATGAATGAATTCAAACAACTGAGAGTTTCTATGGCCCAACTCAACCGACCTGGGGTCTACAATCTGAAAACCTGCCTCAAAGGCTCCAGGGCCCACAAAGAAGCCACCGAACCCGTTCACTT